AGGTGTAGCCAGAAATGGAGAGAGGCCCAAATGTACAGTATAGGGTTTATCCTCACAACCTCACCCCCAGTTCATAAGAAGAATGCCTCACCTAGCTATCTACCTTCTCCCTTCCCGCACACATGGGGGAAAAGAAATGGACTCAGAAATGGAACCCCACACATCTAAGAATAATAAAGAGTGCCAGAAAGGAACATTGGGAATATTTATAAAGGTTATCTTTTAGTATGTGTGAGTGTATATAAAATTTTAAATTGCTTTAAAAATTATTGATTATTTAAAACAAAAAAATGCATTGTGGGTTTTAAAGTAAATAACAAGAATCAAGGACAGAAAGGGAGAAAAACCCTCTGTATTATTATTAATGTTCTTATGCTGTTCATGAAACAGGACAGTACTGTCGAAGGTGGATTTTGATGGCTTAAATATATGTGTGTGTGTGTGTGTGTGTGTGTGTGTGTGTGTGTGTGTGTGCTGGCATGTATGCATGTGTGTCCCAAATCCTGACAGGATGGAGAAATGGAGAAGAGATTGTGACCATGCCCCATAGGGGGTGTTTTCTCTCTTTCTTTCATTCTCTCTTCTTTTCTCTCTCTTTCTTCTTTCTTTCTCTCTTGCCCTCTCTTTCTTTTCCTTCCTTCCTTTCTTCTCTCTTTCTTTCCTTCTCTCTTCTTTTCTCTCTCTTTCTTCTTTCTTTCTCTCTTGCCCTCTCTTTCTTTTCCTTCCTTCCTTTCTTCTCTCTTTCTTTCCTTCTCTCTTCTTTTCTCTCTCTTTCTTCTTTCTTTCTCTCTTGCCCTCTCTTTCTTTTCCTTCCTTCCTTTCTTCTCTCTTTCTTTCCTTCTCTCTTCTTTTCTCTCTCTTTCTTCCTCTGAGCAAGCACATGTGCCCTCTGGCAACTAAAAAAGTACATGGGGCCAGCAGGTGTCATGGTGGTTAAGGCACTGGACTCCCACATAGCTGACTATGGTTTGAGTGCCAGACCTTGTGACTTGCTTTTTTGCTTTTCCTTTCTCTCTCCCTGGTCAAATTAAATAATATTAATAATAAATAAAATAAAATAAAAAGTTCTTTTTAAAAAATATATGTAATTTTTAAATTAAACACTGAAAAAATAAAGTCCAGAAGAGGTATATATAAGAAGTCAGTGAAGGAGGCAAAATAGATACTAAAACATAATCAGTTCACCCAAAAGAAGCCAGGGATAGAAAAGTAAGAGTAGCAAAGAATAAGTGGGCTAAATATAAACTCAAAACCAAGATGAAGGACTTTAGCTCAACCATTTCAATAATCAAATCAAATGTAAACAAATTAAATATTTCAACTAAAATTTTAAAAGAATTAAAAATAGCTCTGCCAGATGTAATAGTTATTAGACACTTGAAATGTGGCTAGTGCAACTGAGGAACTAAACTTTTTTTTTTTTTTTGGAGATATTTTCACTGTAGGGCGCGTGCACTCGCCAGACAGACAGAGAGAGACATAGAGACAGAAAGCGAGAAATCACCCCCCAGGGGGGCTGGTCACGCCGCAATCCCTTCTCCTTCATTCTCCTCTCGGGATCTTGGGCACGCACGCACACGTGCCCGGCGTGAGTTTTAAGCCACTGGGTTCAGGACACGAACCGCGGTCGACTACATGGGAGTCCAGCGACATAGCCATTACGCTAACTGCTGGTTCCTGAGGCACTATATTTTTAATGTTAAAAAATTTTAACTAGTATCTTTAATTCTTTTACATTTGATATAATTATTAACATAGTTAGGTGAAAGTCCTTCATCTTGGGGCTTTGAAATATTTATCCCAGGAGAAATGGTCTAGTCCTTTTTACACATAAGATTGCTAAGGAAAACAAGTAAATAAACAAAAACAGTCTGGTTAAGAGTGGTTAGCTGGGATGGCATTTCTGTCACTCGAGGACTTCTGATTGGAGGTAAGCACTTCCTGCAGAGATTCTCCCTTTCTTTGTTGAGGTTACACCTACAAATATTGGAATTTTTGTAATCAAATGAAAGAGAATTAAGACTCAAAATGAAATTGAAAAATTGCTACTGTTATCACTACTGTCCAACAGTGTTTATCCAGATCTGTAAAGGGGATCCATAGTTTTTTTTTTTTTTTGTTACTGTTGATGTATTATTGTGGTGGTGGGGCGCCCATGCTCTTAATCTGAAAGGTTTCCCCTTAGAAATATAAAATCGTCTCTGGAATCACAGTTTTGCATAGTTTAGGACATTATCTTCTCATCTCTGGAATCACAGTTTTGCATAGTTTAAGACATTATCTTCGCTTGCTGCTGAACTTGCCTTTTCGCTTTCCTTCCTACCTAGTCTAATGTGCAGCAAAATTGTTCCAGTTCTACATCTTGCATCACAACCCACTCAGCAAAATGCTCCATCAGGCAGTTAACTGTCTGAATTTGCTCAGATGGTGAGATGTAGCAAAAGGCAATTTTATACCTGGATCAAGAGTTGGCAGAGCACCAGAAAAGCTTTAAGGCTCACAGACATGACATAGCACACTGGCTGGGAACCAATGGCTTAACCTCTTTGGCAAACATCATCCCTGACCCTGGAAGGGAGCCCTGGGAGAATGGTTCTCCACTGTTCTGCTTTCTCTCTCTCTCACGGCTCCCTGTGGGGTAAGGATTAAGAATCCGGTTTTACTGCAGAGGAAATGGCTGTTAGAGAGGTTAAACCAATTGTTCCAGTTGATAGGAGCAGGACAAAGAAGACTTTTTTCATTCCCACATCCTTGCTTCTGCCTGCTCCTCGTGTATGCTTATGTTGTCTATCTTCGTTGGTCATCTAGAAATGTCTGCGGCAGTCTGGTTTCGAAGGAGGGCGGGAGAGCTGTCTCATCACTGCAAGTCATCTGAATCGCACTTCCCCAACAGCTGGGTAATGGGAAACAATTGTTATTGGGAAACAATGTAACAAAAAATATCTTGAAGGTTGTGAAAAGTGAAACCAGTTATCAATCCTCATATTAGGATTAAATAATAGAGATGCAAACTTTGAGTGGCAAGTCACAGTGGCTCCCTAAAGATATATGTTTTTTAATTTGTGGTTTTCTTTATTGGCATACCTAAAACCCTTTGGAATTTAGAACTTGTCTCTCCCTTCTTTATTTTATTTGCTAGAGAGTTCATGTACTTATGAGAGAGAGAGAGAGAGAGAGAGAAAGAGAGAGAGAGTGAGAGAGAGTCCTCTAGAGACACTTGGTCATACTGAATTCTCTTCTCCATTCTCCATTGGAGGGATATTTTGGGGAATGGATGTACATACTCCCAGCGTGTTTCTCAAGCTGTGAGGGTCAGAATTTGAACCATGCAGTCAGCCATCTATGTTCCGGCTTCCTTAACCACTAGGCTGTAAGGCTGAACTGTCTTCCTTTCTTACATAATGACACTGTCATCCATTCTACGATCTAAATCTTGGATCTGGGGCCACTCTCCTCTCCTTTCTTACCCTATTATCTTTCTTCATCAACCTCATTTAGTCCTTCACTCAGTCCTCTTAACCTGAATTTCGAAGTCTCTTGCAAATCCTTTCCATCCTGCTCTAGTTAGAAGAGTGGGTTTGCCAAGCCTCAGTTAAAACCCAGACTTGCCTCTTGGTGCCTGGCGGTCCTTCTCCAGTAGATGTAGTGTGCTCCTGTTACCTGGCCCATGGGGCATGAGTATTATCATGTTGAAACTGCTCCCAAATAGACATGTTCTCCTAAGACACAACAAATAGCCTTTGCTTTAGTTTTCATATTTCTTTTCTAGTAAGGTTAAACATTTTCTATTGTTTCATTAACTGTATCTACTTCTTCCTTTCTGTTCCTGTCCTCTGCCCATTTTCAAATGTGTTTTTCATATTTTATTTAATAATATCTATATCCATATTACAGGTTTCTCTTTAGAACCAATTTATTGAATAATATTTCTTTTCATACGTCACGTTACTTTTGAAAGCAATAAAGTATGAGCAAAAATCATGAAATAACACTGCCAAGGCATTAAATATTACTCCTGTGTGGAATTTCTTTAGATGGTATCTGTCTAAGACAAGTAACCTTGTCTTTTGAATGTTAATGCTAGATCATGTTGTCATCAATGAGAATAATTATTGTTCATGAATAACTCTGGAAAAGACCAAAGGACAGAAGTTTAGAAAGAAAAGTTGAAACCTTCATCCAGAATCCAGATCCTCCTTTTTCTCAGAGAATGCCAGTTTCATTGTAATGTTTCTTTTACACTTTCTTTTTATTGTTTTAGAGACAGATTTTTGCTATAGGGCATGCACTCTTGCCGGAGAGATAGAAAGTGAGAAATCACTTCCCGGAGGGGAAGCCACACCTCAGTCCCTTCTCCTCCATTCTCCTCTCGGGATTTTGGGCACACACGCAAACGTGCCCAGCATAAATTTTAAGCTGACTGGTCCGGGACTCAAACTGCAGTCGACTACATGGGAATCCAGTGATGTAACCATCACACCATTTGTTGATCCCTCTTTTACACTTTCTTAATTATTGGTAGTAGAATAAAACTCACGTTGCATTATTATGAACACTTTAAATATATCACCTAGTAAATGAAAGCATTATGCATCTACTTTTATATTAGTGGTGAAGGGAAATGTCTAGGGCCTCTATAATATGATGTAACTTTATTAAAAAAGCATTAAGGGACAGAGACTCTCCTTTGGTTTATTGTGATACTGTTTTTTTGTCCATTTGTAATCTCTCGCATATGTTTTAAATAAAAAGCTATAAAAGTTGCATTGCCTTCCCAAATCAAGCCCATTTCTTCAGGGTAAATAAAAATCTTAGTAAATTAAACATTGGCTGCCTGGAAATACTCCTGATTCTTGACACCCAGACTTTTCCCGTATTGCTTGTCAATTGCTTGTCAGGAATGGAAAGCTGTTGCTCCTTGAATGTGGTTGGTGTGTTTTATTTGAGTTCTTGTCTGTCCTCTAAGGTTAAATCTAATCTGCATCACTTTCCATTTTCAGCCACCAACTCTATCTGTAGCTGCGGTGACATTTTTACACAAGGAAGGATGTATGCTGCCCATCTGTCATCAAGGACACAGTGCAGCTAAACCACTTACCCTGTCTCTTACTACATGGTGAGTGATGAAAACATAAAGGACTGGGTTTGGTTTCTCCTTGGGGAAGTGGCAGCAAGAGATACTCATTTGTACATTTTGCTGTGAAGAAAACGAGTATCGTGTGGACCATGTTTGATGAATTGCGGAAGTACCTTGGCAAGAGGAAGTAGAGCTGGCCTTGCAACGCCTTTAGCTTCTGTTTTGAAAGTCTGAACTCAAAACTGTGCCACTGGGGAACCAGCAGTTAGCGTAATGGCTATGTCGCTGGACTCCCACGTAGTCAACCGCGGTTCGTGTCCCGGACCCGGTGGCTTAAAACTCACGCCAGGCGCGTGTGCATGCGTGCCCAAGATCCCGAGAGGAGAATGGAGGAGAAGGGATTGCAGCGTGACCATCCCCCCCTGGGGGGTGATTTCTCACTTTCTGTCTCTATGTCTCTCTCTGTCTGGTGAGCACACGTGCCCTATAGCAAAAACCTCTCCAAAAAAAAAAAAAAAGATAAAAAATAGATAAAAAACTGTGCCACTGTATTAGCCCTGACTCAATGGACCAGGGAGACTTTCCCAGAACAGTGCGCAGCATGATAGAGGTGGGGCCAAGAGGTCTGCACGAGAATATGGGCCTTACCATCACTGAGTAGGGGACCCCAGGGAAATCTCTTCACTTTATCCATACTAGTTTAGTCATCTGAATTTAGTTGCTATTTCTATCATCCTAGTTATTACTATGCCATTAAATTAGGCTGCCCTAAAAACAAAGGCAACAGAAATCATTGACTTGCCATAGTATGAAAATAGTTATTGGGTGGCATTCAGCTGCATGAATGGTCTAGGCATGGAAAAGAAGCTACAAGGATGCATTAATAGGGATGGAATGGGTTGGAAGAAGAAACAGTGGAAGCCATAGACACACTTGATTGATTTTATAGTTTGGTCTGAAGCTCTTTGGGTCTGAGAAGCAGTGTGTGAGGACTAAGCTCTAAGCTCTTTTTTTTTTTTTGGAGAGGTTTTTGCTATAGGGCATGTGTGCTCACCAGAAAGACAGAGAAACAGAAAGTGAGAAATCACCCCCCAGGGGGGATGGCCACGCCGGAGTCCTTTCTCTTCCTTTCTCCTCTCGGGATCTTGGGCACACATGCACATGCGCCCGGTATGAGTTTAAGTCACCAAGTCTGGGACTCAAACCGTGGTCAACTACGTGGGTGTCCAGTGACATAGCCATTACGCTAACTCTGGTCCCAGGACTAAGCTCTTTTAAGTATTGACATTTATCAGATTGTATTCTGAGCCCTCTTCTTCTTCATCTTCCTCTTTCTCCTCCTCCTTCCCTCCCTTCCTTCTTTCCTTCTTTCTTTCCTTCCTTCCCCTCTCCCTCCCTCCCTTCCTTCCTTCCTTCCTTCCTTCCTTCCTTCCTTCCTTCCTTCCTTCCTCCTTCTCCTCCTCCTCCTCTTCTTCTTTCTTCCTTTTGCTGCAGGGCACATGTGCTCACAGGAGAGGGACAGAGAGAGAGATGGTAAGGGAGAAATCACCCTACAGAAGGAGTAGCCATACCTCAATCACTTCTTCTCCGTTTTCCTCTTGGATTTTGGCATGCACAGACATGTGCTCAGTGTGTTTTTCAAGCTGCCAAGTCTAAGACTCGAACTACAGAGTTGGCTATGTGGAATCCAGCACTTTAACCACCATACCACTTTCTGGACCCTGGGTCCTCATCTTCCCTCACTCTGCACACACTCTTCCTGGACAGTTTCATCCACTCACTTTTTTTTTTTTTTTTTTTTTGGGTTTGCTATAGGGTAGTCTGTGCCCTCACCAGACAGACAGAGAAAGACATAGAGACAGAAAGCGAGAAATCCTCCCCCACGGGGGATGGTCACGCCGCAATCCCTTCTCCTCCATTCTCCTCTTGGGATCCTGGGCACGCACGCACACTCTCCCGGCATGAGTTTTAAGCCACCGGGTCCGGGATGCGAACCGCGGTTGACTACGTGGGAGTCCAGTGACATAGCCATTACGCTAACTGCTGGTTCCCCATCCACTCACTTTTTAATTTTTTTATTACATTTAGTCACTGTACATCTTTACAGCATATGAAATGGTTTTTCCCAGCACAAATACAGTATATAGCAGTCAAGTCAATGATATTACCACATACATTATCATCAACAGATAACTCTTTATTTTTCTGTCTGTTAAATGTTTTCTCCCATTCACTTTTACATGATGTGTTTCCTGGCACATTTTTTTTCTGAAGCAACAACCCTATGTGTCTGGTGATCTCCACCTGATTGGCCATAGACCCTCAGATCTAAAGGATCCAACTGAGCTTGACCATTTCTTCTTTGCCTAACCCACACTGCTGCTTCTTCTCCTGTAGTCATCCTCTCAGTAGATGATAATGCCCACATATTGATCGGGGTCTCCTTCTTGACTTCTCCCTCCCTCATCTCTGACAGCCAGTCAAACCTTCCTTAACCCCCATCACTTAGAATTCTTCATTGGCACTACTGTCAAGACAAAAATCAAACTCCATAGTAAAATAGACCTTCCCACTTCTTCCAGTTTCTTTTGTTGACCTTCTCTTAGACGTTCCAATAGAACTTGGTGGGCTTCTTCCAGTTTTTCAGTCAAGTTGTGCCATCTTTCCTTCTGGGTTTTGTACATACCCTTGGTTCTGCTTGGCACGCTTCCTTAACCACCCTCATCATAACCCGGTTTTCCTAGATGACTCAGATTCCCTCTTTATCTTAGTATATATGAGTGGTTCTCATTGGAAGCTGTCCCTCAGAGGCCGTGTGACCATTTCTGAAGACATCTTGGATGATGACCACTGGTGGGGATACTAGTAGCCTCTAGTGTGTAGAAGCCAGGGTGCTGTTAAACATCCTGTAAGGCCCCTCATCAAGGAGCCCTGCAGCAGAGAATGATCTGTCTGCAACTATCAATACTGTCAAAATTGAGAAATATTGTCTAGATTTCACCTTTTCTGGGAAGGCTTCTTTTTGAGAGGTTTTTGCTGTAGGGCGCATGTGCTCACCAGAAAGAGAGAGACAGAAAATGAGAAATCCCCCACCCCAGGGGCATGGCCACACCACAGTCTCTTTTCCTCCATTCTCCTCTCAGGATCTTGGGCACGCACACACACATGCCTGGCGTGAGTTTAAGCCACCAGGTCTGGGACTCAAACTGTGATCGACTATGTGGGAGTCCAGTGACATAGCCATTACGCCAACTGCTGGTCCCTGGGAAGACTTTCTTGATCTCATGCCTCTTCTACATGGTTCATGACCCTTGCTTTAGACTTTTCCTTGACATTCCCCTATAGCACTGGTATTTTCTGTCTGCTTTTTAGAACATCAACTTCTGAAAGTCAGACACTATTTCTTGCCTCCCTTTTAATTCTCAGCTCCCAGCATAATTCCTGGTGTTAGTGGGCATGCAATACACACTTATAAATGAGTAAAAACATGAATACAAAAAAATCACTCTGTACGGAGGATCTTGCTCTCCACATTTGTTCCAGAAAACATATTACTTGCAATAATACACCACTCCAATCCCTGTCCCTGCAGCAGCTCTCAAGAAAGCATTCTTTCAGAGTTCTCTTGTATATGTGGGCCATGGCAAACTGCTGATCTGCCTAGGGAAATAAATATTTGAATAGTTATTTTGTTTTCTCATAGCTTCTCTTGCCAAATAATACTCTAGTTGTGGAAATATCTTTACCCACTGTGTGATGTGTACTGCAGGATTATTATTATTATTTATATTTCCATGACCCGATTTTTTACATTCAATAATAGTTGAAACAGTTCATGCCATGACTTTCTCTTATAGTGGAAAGTACCACATAATGCAAGTTAAGGCAATGTGAGCCAATATATTTCATCGCCCAGCACCATAATCTATTAAGCCTGAGATATTTTCAGGGAATTGCCTTAAATCCTTTGGTGGTTTAAAGTAGCTTCAGAGGGATTAGTGGCTTAGAGGTAATTGTTATTGCTAATATTTTATTTGAAATGTCCTGTTCAGCAAAGGTAATGTGACATTTCGCTCACCGGCAATGCTGTCTTTCTAGGAAACAGGATGAGTCAAAAGGTCAGCACCCAGGAGACGGAGGGAAGGGAGCACTTGAAACAAAGAACAAGGGCCTGAGCTGAGGTGATCAGTACAAGTTGGCCAAGTTGGAGCTGACTTCTCTGTGGCCCTAGGGGAGCTGTAGTTCTTTTGTTTTGTTTTATCTTTTTGCTGTAGGGCACATGCACTTGCCAGAGAAAGAGAGAGACAGAAAGAGAGACAGAGAGAGAGAGAGCGAGAAATATTCCCCCAGGGGTGATGGCCATGCTGATGTCCCTTCTCTGTTGTCTCAGGATTTTGGACATGTACTCTCATGCATGCACCTAGAATGTTTCTCAAGCTGCTGGGTCTGGGAAAAACAATGCTCAGTTGGCCCTGTGAGATCTAGACTTCTAAACCACCATGCTGCTGGCTGGACCTTTAATTTTTTGTAACCTGTGAGATTAGTCTAAATAGTTAATCAGCTCTAAGAAGAAACCTGAATTTTTCTTTTTCTTTTTCTTTAGTAAGAATGAAACACACTGAAGCACCTTCTTGTGGGCTCATCCTCTTCTGCTGAGATGGTAAATACTGAAGCTTCTCAGGGTCTCTCTGTAATTCAGCCAATGGGTTTCAAATGTAACATGCTCGAGAAATCACTAGGAGCGCTTGGGAAAGATCCTTTGGGCTCTACTCCCACCAACTCTGATTCTGTAATTGTGAAATAGCCCTAGAAATCTGCATTTTAAAAAAATTATTTAATTTTATTTATTCTTTCATTTATTTTAATGTCACCTCCCCCCCCCCACACACGCACACACACTTGAACCAGCCATGTGGGAGTGTCCAGTGTCTTAACCACCATGCCACCTACTAGCTTCCAAAACCTGCATTTTAACCACTGAGTTCCAGAGGATTCTGATCCAGATATTTATTATGCCTGAAGAAACATGGAATTAACCAATCTTTTTCTTGCTCATAATATCATGTTTCTAAAATTTCTATCTGTGGTCCAAATACATCTGAATTCTAGACCCATATATGAAAATAACCCAGATTTTTAGAATATCTTAAATATATTTCAAACTTGATTTCTCCAAACCCAAATGCTGTCTTCTTCTGACTTAGTCTATACCGGAAGGCTGACACTACTATACCCTTTTATATAGAGACTTGAGACTTGAGCATCTGTGGATTTGGGTATTTGCTTGCATCCTGGAACCAATCCCCTAAAGATACAAGGGACAACGGTGTTTCCTACCTCAGTAAAGACACCAGCCTCCATCCAGTTTTCACAGAAACCTGCATGTTACTTCCCTTTTTCTCCATCTACTCCAATAATACTCTCATTTGGGTCCTACCTCCTTTCATCACTTAGCATTTCCTGTGCAGACCACAGCAATAGCTCACTAGCCAGCTTCTGCATTTGCTCTTCAACCTGCTCTCTCCACTGAGCCAGAGGGTTCCTTGCAAAATGTATGCTTTAACACTGCATCAGTCCCTGCAAAAACCCATCAATGACTCCCCATCATCTTTAGGATTAGGACCCAAAGCCTTTCTTTGCCTCACAAAGTCCAACTTTGTGGTGAACACCTGCTCACCACTGCAGTCACAAGATTTTATCTCTGGTTCTTTATGTTCTAGTCACACTATTTTTAAAAAATTCCTCAGAATTGTCACACTCACCCTCTCTACCCCAGCACAGTGTGATCTTTTGCTTTGAACCAGTTTTCTTTTTTCTTTTTTTTTTTTTTCAGTCCTTTCCCTTAGCCTAGTGAACACCTACTTTTTTTTTTAGGTGGCATCCCTAATTTTCATCTTTATAAGCTATCCCAACTCAGGTTCCCTTGATACACCTATAGACATTGTGCAATAGTATGTTTAGTTTTGTGAGTATTTGATTAATGCCTGTCTTTCCTCAGACCTGAAAGTCCACTAAGATTCTTTTTGCTCACCATTGTAGGCTGAGTGTTTTTTAGTGCTTGGCATATGGAGGTACTCAATAAATATTTGTTGAATGTTCAGGGAATTTTAAAATTATTTCTTTCTTTCTTTATTCTTTGAGTGAGAGAGACAGAGATCTAGCACCCAGATAGGTCTTGATGCTGCTGTCCACCTCCAGCTTCAGCCAGCCCAGATCATGGGCACACACATGCATACTCTGGGGGGGGTCTCCAGACTCAAACTGGCAACTCAACCCAGAGGAGAAAATAACTTCTTCAGCATTTCTGCTCCATAGAGAAGATCTCTGTTCTGCAAGTGTGTGGAAGAGGGTCCTCCTTTCTGATTGCTGCTTATAATATCGATGGGACCATCCTATCTTCAGAACAATGCTAAGGCAGTGAGGAAAAGGATTGGCTCTAACATGTTTGGTTGCATGTCTTCCTTGTGCCTGAGATTGTGGTGGACACCATTATACAAACTTGAGCTAGTATACTGGCAAAACAGAGTTTATACACTGGAATATTATTCTCTGGGAAATCCAACCAGTCCAGGAGAAAAAAGAGACTAACATATTGACATGAAGAGCTCAGCAAAAATGCACAGTCAGATCAGTCTACACACAAGAAGGCCTACCACTGACACTCCATCTGCATGCTGTGTGCCTCCAAATAGCCCTTCTGTGGTGCTCCACTCTTAAATATAAGGCTAGACAGGGAGAACAAGACATTTGAGTGCTCTCTGTAAGGTAGACCCGAACCACTACAAAAAAGGAATTTGTAGGAAATAGAGACCATGCATAGATTTGATAACCCCTGATAAATATCTAGTCTCTGTGGAGACATAAAAAAATTGTATCTATGAAGCAAGAATAGTATCTTATAAAAAAAGAAACAATCATAGAACTAAAAAAATTCCAGGTAATAAAAAAAATATGATAGCAGAAATGAAAACTCAATATGAAGGTTAAAAGATAATATCAAGTCTCCCAGAATTACTTTTTAAAAGACAAGGAAGATTAGAGAGAAATAAGAGAATTAGAAGATCATTTCAGGATACCCAGTCCCAATAATAAGAATTCTAGAAAGAACAAGTGGATAGACAGAAATTATAAATTTTTAGAAAATTTCCGAGAATTGAAGGACATAATTTTCCAGAACAAAAGAACACATCTAGCGCTCAGCACAAGACCCATAGTAAAGCATATTTTTGCAAAGTTTCAGAATATTGAGGACAAGAGAACAGATAAAATCTTTTAGCAAAAAAAAAAATTTTACAAAAGATCAAGGCTAGCTCTGTGGCCTGGTGGTTAAGGGAACTGGATCTCACATGGACAGCATTGTGGTTTGAGTCCCAGCCTGTGACTTGAAAAACACCTGGGCCTGTGTGTGTGCAAGTACAAAGTCCCTGGAGAAATGGAAGAGTAAGAATTGCACTGGGACCGTGCCCCATTGGGAGGGTGCTTTTTCCGAGGGTGCTTTTTGCCTCTCCCTTTGTCTCTCAGTCTCTTTCTGGTGAAAATGCACACCCTCTGGCAAAATTAAAAAAGAAAAAAAGATCAGATTGGGAACCAGTCCTATAATTCTGTGGTTAAACTTTATGTGTAGGAAATCAGATTCCACGTGCCCCAGCAGTTCAAAAAACACGCTGGGAATATGTGTGTGTACTCCCAAAATACTGATGGGATCGAGAAACAGAGGAAAAAGGACTGGTGGGACCACACCCTATTTGGGGGGTACTTTCTCTTTCTGGTAAGTACATATGCTCTCCAATAATTAAAAAAATCAGATTAGCATCAGACCTCTCAATAGTTACATTGGAAGCAAGCAGAAAATGGGGATATACCTTCAAAATTCTGAGGGAAAATTATTTCAAACCTAAAATTATATATTCAGATAAATCACTAGTCAAGGATAAAAAGTATGATGAAGACATTTTTTGATACCCCAGTATCAATTTTTCTCATTTGCATAAATTTTCTGAGAAGTCACTGGAGATGGTATCACACTAACATGAAGAGTAAATTAAGATAGAGGAAATAGGAGCCAAGAACCAGAAGACCAACATAAGAGAGTGGCAAAGGATGTCTCCACAATTGCCATGGAGGGAAATTCCAGGGAAACTTTGGCACCAAGAGTAGAGGACAACTCATAGCTGGAGTAGGTCAGGAGGGGCTGGGAGGGAAGTTTCCAAGATGGACTTGACAGATGATCTGTTGTGTTGGAATGTTCTGGGAGAGATTTAAACTCTTAGGAAAAGTTTGGGAATGATTTATCAGTAAATACATAAAAAACTGAGTAAGTATATACACACACACACACACAGATTAATTATTAATTCTCTTGATACTAAAAAGTTATGAAAAAAAAAGAGATCAAAGCTCAGGAGTTTTACAGCTTTTATAATGTGAATGTTAAAACTGTTCTAACCAAAATTATAGGATAGCTCTACTGCACTGATTGGAGGGTTGGAAAATGGAAATGGCATGTGGGTGAGTTGTGGGGAGGGAAATATTATGGGAAAACAAATCAATAAGAAAATTAAAACATTTCTTTAATGGAAAGTGATGCTTCAAAGAGGTCAAGACTGGGTAGGTGTGTACATGGCCAAATCTCTTTGCTCTATAAAACATCAGTTAGACAACTCTCCACAGGCTCATTTCTGTATCATCTTTGTGACCCAGGGAGGTTTAACAATTCTAGATTCTTTGTGAAGAGGCACTTCATCACCAGGGAATTGGTTCCTAGAGCTTTCATGATAAGAAAGTAATGGATATGTTCATCGTCCAGGTTCTTCTTCACTAAGAAATATTGCATTGTCAGAAAAAAAGCATGACACATTTTTTGCATAGAGAAACATAGATATGCCATGACATTTCTGATGACTCAATAGTATTTAGAGTTAGATATATGTTAAATTCTTTTTTGTTTGTTTTTAAGTAATGATTGGGCTTTATATTGTATTGCAGAGTTACCTTTGGCTAAAATTATCTTTTTGGCCATTTATTGCTTTGCTCTCTAAGCTCTGGACTCAGGAGAGAAGTGGATTGAGCTATTTGTAAACTCCATTAATTACAAACATACAAGACACATCTTCTCTTATCCTCCATTCTTCAAAAGCAAACTGTAATTTGTTCTCTTTTCTGTGACCTACACAAAGGAATCTTTCTGAGTAATATTAGCATTTAGAACACACAGCTCCTCCTCCAGTGATCACTGACTCATTGCTTACGCATTCCAAGCACCAGAGATGAACAGCTTTTCAAACCATCCATGCCTGCTTCTTGAGGCCCCTCTAGAGATTGAAGGGGAGCACATTGAAAGTTCAGAAAACTTAATTTGTTCTTTATAGAAGGCAACTTTATAAGAGCAATTTTTTTCAAAGATTGGAGGATTCTTGAGTGCTTTTCTGTTTAAGTGTGCGCATATTGAAGTACAGTCATTTTTATTGAATGCCTGTTTCTGTGTGCTTCATTTGACCACCTTCATGTGAAGGGCACTCCTCAAATACCCATGTATGCGATAGAAAAGTAAGCTGCAGTGACCAAGATATGCCCACAAACTGGCTGATAGGGGAGGTGTTCTCAAGTTATCTTCTGCTTTCTCTTTGGTCTGAGTTCCCATGCTAATCATATTCCATGTAT